GTACTCTATCACTGAGCTACACCCCCAGCCCAAGTTGAATACTCTTAAAAATCCTTATAGACTATTCCACATTCCACAGAATGTGACAGATTAAACTTATGATGAGAACAAGGGAAGAAAGAGATTAACCTTTCTCGTTCCTTCACTCATCTCCAGTCTTATTATAAAGTTTTGGTTATTAAAACATGACAGTGTAGGTACAGGTACAGGTACATTAATGGAATACAGAGACCAGAGATAACTCCAAGCCCTTGCCCTCTTCCTCCTTCATTTCTGCTCCTGGTCCTCGCCCCTCTTTCATATATGACTGAGTTACCTTTGTAGTTGGTAACTATGCAGGCAGAGAATCCCATGAATGCTCCTGGGGTAAATGGCTTAACACAAGGAAAACATAAAACTTGATTTCTACCTCATACCAGTTACATAAAGAAATTCCAGATGACACCAAGTCCTAAATGTGGAAAACACAACTTTAAGAGACCATAATGCTAAGTGAAATAAATCAGATACAGAAGGATAATATATCACATGGTTTCTCTTATATGAGAAACCCAAAGTATAAATAAGAGCAAAATGGAAGAGATGACAGGAAACAGGGAGAGAGACTATGTGAAGATGGGCAGTGGATCTGGGAGTGGGGAAAACAGGAGGGAAGGGAAGGGAGGGTAAAATGGGTCAAGATGCGATATGTACACGCACCAAACACCCCCATGATGAATGTATGTATTATGTTTCATAAATATATGCTAATACAAACAGGAGAAAATAGCCCCACCTAGCTACTGAGCTACCTACTCTGCTTTGAGTAGTTTATTATATGAAATTGAAAAAAGGCAAAAAGATCTATGCATAGCAATATATGTTCAGGTCCTTCTTTTATAATGTAAAAAGACTTAAAAACATAAATACAAAATCAAGAATTATTCAAATAAATTCTATAGTATATATAGCTAATAAAATGATGCAAATCAATATTACTGACATAAAAATTAATCCTATAAAGTGGATTATACATAGTTACAGAAATAAAAACTGTATTGGTAAAAACCAGTGGAATATGTCCAAAAGAAAAGAATATCTAGGGGCCAGGGATTTACCTCAGTGGTTCCAGCGCCTGTCTCATAAGCACAAGGTCCCGAGTTCGATCCCCGGTACCAAAACAAACAAAAAAAAAGAAAGCAAAGAATATCTAGTAATATACTCACACAAACATACTCACAGGATTTTTTTTGGTACCAGGGATCAAACTTGGGTCCATGCACTTGTGGGGCAGGCAGCGGAACTACTTAGGTAAATCCCTGGCCCACTCACAGGATTTTTGACAAAAGGTACAAAAGTAATTTCATTTGTGAAAAGATGATCTTTATGGCAATTGTTGTTAGAGCAATTTCACAGGCCAAAATAAAATAAAACAAAACACCTTGTACCTAAGTCTCACACTTTATATTAGAACTAACCAAAAATGGACCATATACTTTTTTCTTCTTTTTGAGACAGGGTCTCGCTATGTAGTTCATGCTGGCCTTGAACTCACTATGTAGCCCAGGCTGGTCTCAAACTCATGGTGATCCTCTTGCCTTGGCCTCCCAAGTGCTGGAACTATAAGTGTGCATCACTGTACCCGGCTGGACCACATACTTAAAACATAAAATATAAGGCTTTTAAAGGAAAAAGACACAAGAGAAAACCTCTGGGATTTAGAGCTAGCTGAAAAATTCTTAGACTTAATCCAAAGACATGGTAAAAAAAGAAAATTTATAAGAGGACTTTATATAAAAAGTTTTGCTCTGTGAAACACTGTTCAGAGAATGAAAGATGAGTTAAAGACTAGAAAAAGAAACACAAGCCACATTTTGACAAAGGACCAATATCTAGAGTATGTTAAAAACTCTCAAAACTCCACAGTGAAAAACCAAACAATCTAATTAGAAAATAGGGAAAAGACTCAAAGAAGTACTCCACTAAGATGGCATTCAGTGGCAAACAAGTGCATAAGAAGATGTTCAACATTATTAGCTGTCAGGAAAATGCAAACTAAAACTGCAAAGAGATCTCACTACACAGTTATCAGGATGGCTAAAAAATTTTTAAAATAGTGATATCAAATGCTGACAAGGATGTAGAGAACCTGGACCTAGTGAGAATGTCAAATGGTTCAGCCATTCTGGAAAAGTTTGGGAGTTCCTTTAAAAAACACAAACCCCAATAACCATACAACCCAGTAATGGTACAATTGGATATTCATCTCAGAGAAAGAAAGATTTAGGTTCACACAAAATCCTGTACTAACCATGAGTATTTGTAGTGGCTTCATTTGTCATAGCTAAAACCTGGAAACAACCCTGATGCCCTTCAGTGGGTAAATGCATAAAAATACCATACTGCATTGACACGGAGGAGTATGATTCAGTACAAAGAAAAGAACTACTGCCATTCACAACAGCTGGAACACATCTGCAGAAAATCAGGCAAGTGAGGAGTCAAGTTTCAAAGTTACACTGTATGACTACATTTATATATTTTCAATATGACAAAATTAAAGAAATGAACAGATTAGTGATTGTCAGGGGTTACAGAATGAAGAGGAGTAGGTACAAAGTGGAGGCAACTCTAAATAACCTGAGGGATCCTGTGGAGATAGAAATGTGTGTCTGTGTTAATATCTTGGTTGTGGTACTGAAACACACCTTTGCAAGATGTCACCATTGGGAAGCTTAGAGAAAGGGTCCTTGGCAACTATTTATATCACTTACTACAAGTGTGTATAAATCTAAAATTGTATTAAAGTCCATATAATATAAATAAGTAGTAATTGCACAGTAACAGAATATTTGGAAATACAAACTACAAAAGTATTAGTGGTCATCTATATTGGTAAAACACGTGATTTTTCAATTTCTTCTTCATACATTAATGTATTACAAATTCTTTTTCAAGCATGCTCTACTATAATAAGAAAAATAAATCGAGATATTTTTTGTTATAAAAAGAAAAGTAGTATACACTATTATATACAATTTTACTATTTTACTGTATATTAATTATTTAAAAAATTTTAAAGCTGCTTAATGTTCCATCACATTGGTCATTGACCTATGACAGAGAAGTTTTCTACTTTTTTATTAGTAAAACAACACTGCAAGCAATATCTTTCTACTTGATCTTCGCATGCATCCCTGACCATGACCTATGACTAGACCTCTAGCCATGCAGCTACTGGATCACAGTGTTAGGGACACTGAAACACAGTGAACAACTGCTATCAATTTATGCCATCATTAGTACACGTGTGTGAGATCACTTTACTCTGTTCTTGAGAAACTGCCAAAGTTGTATTCTTATTCCAAGCTCCACAGATCAATTAAGTAGGAAAACAGACATGCTAGCCTCATATGGTGACAACAAAGTATAATAAAACTGACTTCATTCCCATCTTTTTTGCACAGCGTAACATATATGGATCTTGCTTACTCATCTTCATTTCCTTTCGCCTTCTGAAAGTTCAACTTTCTAAGTCAAACATCCAGACTTCTACCTCGTTCACCTGCCTCTGGCCACTCTTGCCTCCTTGCTGTCTCATGCATGTCATGGTGACAATTCCTCTGCTCCAGTGCTCTTGTCTGGATATCTGCAGGCTCACCCCCTATCAGAAGCCTTCCCTTCCCTCTCTGGATAAATCCACCACCACTTCGTCCAGCTTCCTTCTCTGTATTTCTTGTTCCGTCTCTGGCAATGACATACTAAGCATTTTCTGGTTTTGGGTTTTTTTTTCCTTTATTTTTACCACTTTTCTACTTGTTGTGAAACTAAAAAAACCAAATTCTATTCTCCAAGGCACCGCCATTCCAACTCATACAGACTTGAAGTTTTGTCTCTTTATCAGCTCTAGTGGAAGCCCTGCCTCTTACAACCTTTGTATTGATATCCTTTTTCATGTTGGCTTCCACCTCTACAAATACCCACAATCTAATGCTGTCTGCTGAGGGGCCCTATTCACACCGCCCTCTCTGTTCAATTCCCAAGATCGCCATTTTGTGCATCTGCCTCTGCATCTCCACCTTTATAATATCCAGTCTTTGTGTCCTCCAGGTCAGCCAAATCAACAAAGAAAGTAACCTGAATACAACAGCTGTGTTTGATTCAAAAGTAACTGAGATGTAAAAAGATTCTTACAGTTTCTAACTGGAAAAAAAACACACAAAATTTATGGGTTGTGTTAAGACATTTCCATTTCATATTTCTTCAAGTTTTGTCACTACTTTGATTTGAGCTTAGTCTTTCTGCCTGAAAAGTCTTATTCTGATTTAACATTATCCAAGGACTTCCTTTCTGATTTTCATTCCATTCAGTGTTGTCCTCCTCCCTCTGAACAGGGAGGAACAGCACAAGATGCCTCTTTCTGACATTTCTTCTGTCTAAGCAAGCATTTTTCTACTTCAGTGAGTCCCATTTCACATTGGATTTCAGTAGAGAATGTTTTTCTCTCCTTCAAAACATATGTGAAAGCCCTATTTTTGTTTCTATTATTTCCATAGATTATATCTTATAGGTAGGATAAGATTTGATCCATGTAATCAGTCCTATGAAAAATGCTTGTTTTGAAATGTCATTAAACAAATTACTTGTAGGAAAAATACTTTGAGGTAAAAAAATATGCATAGCCTTACAAAAAGACCACCAGTATAATAATCTTTTTTTTCCTCTCATTATGACACAATGTCATCTGACAGATCATTTTCAAGGCTGCAGTGAACTACAAATATATTTTTAATTTTTCCTTGAAATCTTAAATAAATTAGAACAAAGCAGTGAAATTTTACTTTAAAAATATAATATCCTATGTTATTTTGATGGTAGGATAATGGCTTTTAAGAACAGTGACACTTGTCTAATTCTACACCAAAGCACCCTGAGATATTCAACTGCAAGCTTCCAGACAGTATGTGGAATATTCTCCAAAGAATTATAATCTTCCTCCCACCCCATAAGAGACTACTCACCAGACTTCCTTGCTTTCAAAGCAATAACAGCTGCTAGCTCTCTCTGCACCTAATAAAATATTAGGGGAAAAATCAAATTAGAAGAAGAAAAAGGTAGCCACCAAAGCAGTACTTTGTTTTTAGATATGCAACTCAATTAGGAGCTGTTGCAATGAAATCTAAGTTTACTGTCATCCCTGTTTTGTTTTGTAATAGAAAATCTTCTGCATTGGAATTTCAGGCCAAAAATTCAGAAGAATCGTATTGACTTAGTTCTTAAAAGTTAGTTGACAGAATGTATATTTGGTGAAACATTGGTATGTATGCCAGGATGAGTACTTCAAAAACATAACTATGTAATATTCAGAGACCATGAAAATACTAATTAAATTACTAAAATATGTATGATATCCTAACAAAGACATTAAATAGTATTTGTCACACAAAGGTACCAGCATATATAGAAATTCTAGAAACACTGAGACAGGTGCTTCTGGTCTAAGTGGTTCTCTGTTCAAACTCAATGAATGTTTGTCACATTTACAAAAATCATTTTGGATAATATTCCACCTGAAAGCAAGTGCTGACAGGGCAGGTGAAATGTGAAATGTTAGGGTTCAGATGGAGAACGTCCCCCAAAGGCTTCCTGTGCTTATTTGAAGGGCTTCGGGTGATACAGTGGATAGCTGGGGTCTGGTGGGGAGAGGCTGGTTGCTTGGAATGTGACCTGGAAGGCAGCATTTCCTTTCCTGCTCCTCCCTTCTGTGTTTCCTGACCACCATGATATGAAGAGCTTTTCATCTGCTATGCCCTTCTACTTGCTGTTCTGCCTCAGAGCCAGCTCACTGTGGACCAAACTGTGAGCCAAAATAAACCTCTGCTCCTTTAAGCTGCTGTGGGTATCAGATGTATTGTCCCTGTGACTAAGACAGGAACAGGCAAGACGACCTTTAAAATCCTAAGTGTTTTAGACCCTATTTTATCTTCTAAAATTTTAGCACTGACATGCCCTCTTATCCTCCCTACTGTGAATGCTTAAAAGCCCTCCTTAAAAACATTCTCAAAGAGAAATACTAAAGAGACAAAAATTTAAGCACAGTCACTTTCAAAGATAACATTAAAATAATCTTTGGGAAATCTATGCTTGGTAGTGATAAGAATTCTTAATGACCAAGCTCTCGTTTCCTTTAGGACACTGCTCAAAGCCTCTCTCTCTTTCTCTCTGTGCACGCATGCATGCATGCATGCGTGTGTGTGTGTGTGTGTGTGTGTGTGTGTGTGTGTGTATTTGGGTGTTTGGAGATGGTAAAGGTGCAGACTGGGATCAGCTGAATATATTACAGTGATGACACTTTAAAGGGAGAACATGGGAGTTCAAGGTTAAGTTGCAGATTCGCTATTCGAATCAATTTAATTTATATTCATTTACTGGAAGGCAAGAGCAGCAGTGTGCTAGACCCCCTGGAGACTCCACTCAGGAAGCCTTCCCAGTGGCCAGCATCCTCACCCTGAAGGAGGCAGCTTGCCCGGGGCTGTTGTCATTGCCCTGCTTTCCCTGTGGGCTGGTGGGAATGCCATTCAAAAGCATACACTCTTGATTTAGCTGATTTTTTGATGCCTCAAGACTCTCTCAGGACCATCAAGACAATAGCACCAAGGCAATAATTCTCTCTCTCCAACATGGAGTGTTTGGCTCTAAAAATGCTCATGTCTAGAAGATTTACAGTTAAAGAACTGAAGGGGGAAAAGGGACTATGGGTGCAAAAGTGAAGAATGACCACACAGAACCTTTATAAACATGTGGAAGTATACAAATGAAAAAACAATAAAATTAAAATATCAATCATTGTATATGCTTTGGGTTTAATGTAGTATCATCATCTATTTTAGAGTTTTTCTCCTTCACAGTGTCATAAATACTTGGGTGTGAGGCAGAGATGAAGATTCTGAACATTCACTGGGACCCTGCCAATGGCTTCCCATTCTCTGACTGCCCAGGGAGGACCTCTTGTGACAACAGAGACGGAAAATTACACATGAGGTGGATCACTTATTTGCTCACAGAGAATCAAAAACAACCCTTCTTCACTCTCGTATTTCAGTTTTCCAGACCTGAATTCCTTTCACAGGACCTTGGTTTTTCCTTCTGTAATGAGAAATAGGCTCAAAATATAAAGAGCTCAGAAAAAGGAAAGCATATTCTTTTGGCGGCGGGGGTGGGG